GTGCTGAGATTTCGTCACACACCAGACCACAAGGGCTGATGAGACTTCCAAGATAAGTGAAGCTATCGACACGTTCAATTACTTCACTCCCTATCATTAGTTGGGGTTTCGATGCAACCCAATCCTGAAGCAACATTTTGCATTTCGAGGGGGAGAATCGCATCCCGAACATGCTTGCATTGTTGCTTAGAGTGGTCAGAAGACTCTGCATTTTGTCAGCGTCTTCGCTAAATAAAACTATGTCATCAGCATGTTCTAAGTCAACAAGTGAACCCCCCGGTAGAAGTCCAACCCCTGAAAATTTAGATGAGGAGAGTGTTACCTCTAAAAGTACGTCAATGACAAAGTTGAACAAGAATGGGGAGAGTGGACAGCCCTGACGAACACTACTTGAGGTAACCAATTCTGATGACAGTTCGCCATAAGCTCTCACTCTACCAGTTGTATTAGAGTAGATAGCCTGTATAAGGTTAATGTACTTCTTTGGTACTACTTTCAGTGACAAACACTGCCATAGAACCTTACGATCAACAGAGTCAAATGCCGCCTTAAGGTCGACCAAAGGGCGTGTTTACTGCACAGCAGTTTGCACCGTCCTACATTATGGCAGTGAAACATAGCCGGTAAGAGTAGAGGATACTCGTATGTAATTAGTATTCGATCATAGGTGTCTTCTAGACATTGCTCGTATATCCTGGGACCATCGAGGAAGTAACGCAGTTGTTAGGAAACGGGTACTAGGTAAGGATGGCAAATCAATTGATGAAGTACTGAAACTTCATCAGTTGAGATGGCTGGGACACGTGTTACGTATGCCCAACGACCGACTACCTCAACGTGCTATGTTCAGTGGTATAGGAGTAGGTTGGAAGAAAGCTAGGGGAGGCCAGACCAAAACATGGCACAAGTCCATGAAGTCACTGACAAGTGGACTGAGTCATGTTGGTAGGTGTAGACTACCTGGTTGGGGACCACGAGATGATAGCAACCGATGGTTAGAGACCCTGAATGACATGGCTCAAAATCGTTTGCAATTGCGCAGGTGCATCCACTCTTCGTGTTCTCCCGAATTCTAATCTTCTGAATACTTGATGTCCCATTTTTCCTCTTTCCAAATTTATTTCACTGGATTATACTCTTTAAGTAACTTCTCCAAACCCTAATCTTTCCGATTACTGCTTATACTCTTATTACCTCTACCACTACGGGATTTGAATCAACCACTGCATGTCTATGCTAATGTGGTGTGGCAACTCGAACTGATGTACGCACCTACGAAGTTCTACGTTGTTACTGACTGACGGACCTTTGGTTGATAGACGGATATCTCGCCTACGCCATAAATGATGCAAGTTGTCAAAAGCTAGCCTAAAAGATTAGGCAAGTCAAACACAAACATTTTCACGTGTTCTTTCGCACTTCATTTCTTTACTTTTGACGTTCTACGTTGTTACTGACTTGCCTAATCTCTTTAGTTCTCTCGAATCCCCTTTATTCGTCTGATTGGTTGAATGAGATTAAACTTTATCTTGTCAAACAAAATCAAGGAAATAGTCTTTATGAATTTTCTACAACGTACCTAGTTACTTCTTACATTAACATGGATAGAGGGGAGCTTAGGACAACTTATTGGCTAGTTCATGACGTTTGATTTACTGAATGTTAACAGTGATGTAGGAAAATGAAAATTTGGAGTTTCGTCACCCAGTGTTAGTTGTTTACTAGAAGGATAAGTAGATTATGCTAATAAACTTTCAGTGTTGAGTAGCAGACACGAACAAATGTTTACATTATGGCTGTTGATATAATGTTATCATCATATTTGAATGGTATGTTTGTACTTTTAAAATGATTGAGCCAACTGTAGTACAAATGGTAGTCAAATAGTTACTTACACAGTATTTAGTATATGGACTAACCATAAGCTCCTCACGTAAACTACACGAACCAAACAGTATGGCTGCTTAGTGAGAGTTGACAGTTTAAATTAATTTCATAAATTACTTTTGGTACAATTCATTGAATAAACAATAACGTAGAAACTGCGACATTACAATTAACTTCAAGTAGCTTTCAATCAGACGGGAATGTCGTGTCGAATGCTGATCTAAGGGTAGATCTTTTATTTTATTGTGTTTCAGCACATTTGTTATGTCCTGTAAATTCCATGCCTTTCCAAACTCCGAGTAAAAGTCAGGACGAATGAACACAAATAGTAAATTCTACTCATGGATGACGTGGATACACTACCGAAATATGGGATCGATAACGTACAGTTTGGAAATTTCGATAAGTTAACAATTATGGGATTCTTAACACAAATCGGCGCAAACATTTACAGTTGTTTATTATTTTTTGAACAGTAAAAGAATACAACAACAGTAACAGAGATGAAAGAAATCTCACAATTAAGATTCAATAAAACACAATTATACACCTGTTTGATAATTATTTGAGAATACACGTGGCAAATCTATTTAAAAAATACCTGAGAAAACACAACGCAAACATAATTAAGTGTTAAAATAACTGCTAATTTTATTTTACTTCCTTTCCCCAAAAAGCAGATTCACTAACATTCAGGAATGATAGGAAACACATTATTACTAGTTTGTATGGAAACTCGTCTGTGAATGCTTGCGGTATTTATAATGACAAGAATAAAGTATGATAAAACGATGAAATTCGAGACGAAAAAAGAACATAAAGCGATTAAAAGAGTATGGAATCTATAAAGTCAATATACATGAAAATCAATGGTTTAAGGCATGTATGATCAAATAATAGTAACTTAAGAATGTCGCTTTTTAAATCCATCTTTCATAACGATAAATGAAAATCGAGTGAGCTGTTATGCAGTACACTCACTTCTTAATTAGAAGACAGACTTCTTAGTCCACGCAAAAATTGATGGAAGCTGACAAAAAAACCAAGTGAGATTTCCGAATCTACGTCGAAACTTCATCAGACACCAGGTCTGGTGATGTTTCAGAGATGGTAAGCGCATTCAACTATCTTACTCCCTACCATTAATTTAGGCATTAGTGGAGCAGTTTTAAGTAAGAACTTCGAATTGAGAGGCAGAGAAACGCATCTCACACATAATTGCCTGATTCCTCATCGTGATCAGAAGACTACATTTTGTCACTACCTTCATTTACAAGAACCGTCATTTATTTGTTCTAGCCAACTACTACCTGAAAGATCATTGACGGTACAAAAGGCAAATTTAAGGAAATTAATGCTGAGGAAGTGGTGAATAAACGGATTTAAGGATCTCTGAAAACTTTCTACTTAGCTAAGCTTGATATTATCTACTCCAAACGGGCTACCATTCATGTGTTAAGGGTAAACTTTCTCTTTGAGCCACATCGATGTGCATACATAGCTTTATTTGTTATTGAGGGACAGGTTACTTTGATTTCACTAAGCAAACACTTTCTGAACGCATCTCAGAACAACACATAGCGTGGATTTTTAAAAAAGGAATCCAAAGCTATCAGAAACTTAGTACAGGAGCATATTTTCCAACTCCAGGCAACTTTGCCCCAGAAGAATCACTCTTCAAAAGAATCTACATGAATAAGGAGAGGTTGAGTAAAAAAACTTCTGTACTGCTGAGGCGACGGCGATTTATTAATTCAAGTCTGAACACTGTGTGCAAAAGCGACACGTGCAACCTCTAATTTTGCCTTTGGCTTGACACTTTTCATAATGCCTTAGTTTCGTTCTCACTGTCATATTGTATTTTCGGAGCGTGACCAGTTATCATCACCCTCTTAGAAATATCCATCATTAGCCCCCAAATGGTATGGCCGAGGGTGGGGAGAGTCAGCTATCCCTCTCGAAATGCTCTCACATGGCCACACGTATACAGCACTGCCAGAGAAGTTCTACTCAATGGCTTCTCTTGGTAGGGCTGTTGTTTACAAAATTGAGGACGAAAAGAAAATGTTCAGAGCTTTAATCAGGTTGGTGGACACGGAGGCTTCATCTAGTGTAGTTGGAAACTCCTGATCCCAAACCAATGGTGTACGTGGGTTCCGGGACCCCGAGGGAACAAATGGCGTATGAACCGATTATTGGTAACCGGCTACCATGGGACTGCATCTCCTGACGTTGCTCCACTGCATTGTGGGTCAGACCTTTGGGTTGAAAGGCTCCGGGTGTGGCCTCCTAAGAAAACCACCTGCTTCGGTTTGGGCACCCGGGCAGTATCACAGCCCACATCCAAACCAAGTGACTTGTGTGGCGCACATGTATTCGGTGCCCCTTTGTACCAATATTTATGTATTCAAATAAATAAACATGATTATTAATCAATTGTTATGATGACCTAAACGCATTTTACGTTTTTTCCATGTCTGTCAAGCAGACAATTGTCGCTTATATTTTAGATCCGTAGATATTTCTTAGCCTCCGATTCTTCTCAAACTTCTAGATAACGCGAAATTCTCCTTACATTTGAAGTCTTGGAAAAATTTCTGATGTGACCACTTCTTTTTTTAGGCTCATAGATTAATTGCACCACGAACATGAATGTATAGCTTTAGTAGATATTGTCGAAATGTTCTCTGTTGAGTTCTCTTTATTCGATGACAATGGGTTACCTTAACATTATTGGATGAGCAAGTCATGATACTATAACTCTATTGAGACGATAAGATTTTATTCTTGATGTGAATTTAGTTGAAACGAAAATTACAAAACTTTGGTACAACTTAGAAATTGATTAGAAAAAATTCCTTGAGCTTACTGCTTGTGAGAGGTCTGGAAAATATTATGGATTAAAAAAACTCCCCGACATTGTCCAGTAACTTGTTTTTACGTAAATGAAAGATTTTTTACAGGGTTATTTTCAAGTTATAACTTGTTCAAAACTATCTGTAATCTAATTACCAAGTTCACATTGATCACTGATATATCCAATATGCGGTTACTGATATATAGAGGATGTGACTTGATCAGGAATCAATTACGGAATAAATAAAACGATATGTACTGCTGTCACATGTATGACAATATATTTTTAGGGTGAAATAAAAAATACGAAAGAACGGGTAGAAATTAAAAATAGAAAAAGACAAAACCTAAGTGATACCTGAATAACAGATAATCCACGCAAAAAACTTAAAATGAGTGTTCATCAAACGATTAAATCATTTGACCGAAATAGATATGTACGCGTTACAACCAAAAATAATTGCAGATTAAATATTATTAGGTGTGGCGAAAAAGACTAAAAAAATGACAAAATACCATTAGCGCACATCATATTTTTTGTAGGAAGGGGCCAGGTATCAGGAAAATTACCACCAGAACTGGTAACAAGGGTTGAATAACTACATTGGTTTTGGTTAGGTAACAAACCTGAACAGTCATTAAAAATAAATTTTGTAAATTCTTCAACAAGTAGATGATTAGTAGCTTCAAGATGATTGCGGTTATTAGTGGATAGTAAATTCTGATTAGATATTTGAGCACAAACTGCGTGATTTAATTCCATGTTAAAAATGGGCAAACCTAGACGTAAAGTAATGAAATAGATTGGTTTATGCTCTTTCATAATAGTGAGCAATTCATTTTCCACTAAAACAGCTTTCCTAGAACAATTGTATTCACTTTTTTGTTGATCGCGTTGTAAAATGGAGTCTGTGCTAGTTAATAGAATGTTTTGGTCTTCTGAAGCTAGTTTATTCAGATCTTGGTAGTGTTCACACTTGTTCAATGGAGCCAGTACTATGATATATCCAGAGACATAGGTTAAATCGATAACGTTCATAAGATGTATTATGAATTCTGGTACACAATTGGATGAATGTTGTAGGAATTCCTTGGAAATAGGTAAAGGTATGTACCTCTGGGATAAATTTTCTTCAAATTCATAACTTTCGATAGCCTTTTTCAAAGAAAAAGGTTTGAGCAAAGCAAAGTGAAAGTAACCAACTATAAAAGATCTAAGAGATGAAAAAATCATTAGCACTTTAACTGGAACCTAATCTGAAATATGGAGATATTATGTTAAAAAATTTTGGTGGCTACGATATGACTGTGGTGGTAGGTATTAGATATCCTCCCAACTATAGGAATCTCAACCAAATCGACATGGGTTGAATGATAGTAATTCTGTTTTTGACTTATGTCTTGAGATTATAGAAAAAATTGAAATTTATGGTAATAATCACCAGTACGTTGTGCAACCTTTCTCATCGGATATTTGAATAGCAAATCGCAAGCGGTGCCACGAAGTACTTCGGAGTCTGTACTGAATGAACGGACAATCAGTGTTTGATTTTCAGTATCAGTCAGAGAAATTATTTTTAAAAATACACTGAAAAACAGTAACATCTGTGATAAAGAGCCCTTCAAGGAGGTACCATAAAATCCTATTGTCTGAACAGACTGTAAAAACATGCAAGAATTCAACTTCAAGGAACATTAAAAGGCTTTTTTGATAATAACTCGCTGTTTTCAAGTGAGAATGATTTAGTTTTTGGTATACATAACAATGGGACAACACATATGAGTATACTTCAGCTATTCGACTTTATTATATAACAGGTTGCTTTTGATTATAGAAATAGACCTGTTTTCCCATTGGGAAATGTAGAGGAATAATGCCAAATGTAATACGTCTGCTCTCATATTATCCACAAATTATCACAAAGATAATGAGTAATGCGTAGTTACATTGTATTTAGTTTTTAGAGCGGGATGCAGTAGATCGCACTGAAATACGGTGATAGGTTTGGTCAAGTAAGTAATCACAACTGAACCAGTCGATCGTCAGAACACCTGATTATAATGTAAAATCATAGCATATCTAACAGAATATTAAATTGATCAAGACATACTAGCAGTTAAAAATAATTAGACCTTAAGTTTTTGTTAGACTATCATATTTTCGAAGCGAGGTACGATTTTCGACAAAACATATGGCCCCTTGTAAGATCAGAAAATTCTAACTAGTTCGGAAGTCTTAATAACCCACTAGAACAACAGGGATCTACGATCATAATTCACAACAATAAGATATGATGGAAGACATTTATACAGCACAAGTGTCATAGTGAAAACATCCCTCAAGCATTATTTACTTGTAGTGGGATCATGGAATCTTGCGATTGTGTTGTGGTCAAAGTAAGAACAAGGTAGTAAAGGTTGTGTAGTTTTATAAATCAAGATGGCTAGAAATTATATCAGGTATATTGATTAGCTGTTTACCTGGACGTCCGATAATAGATGTAGAGGAATTGAATTTTAAAAAAGCTAATAATCTTAAAAGTGACACATGGTACTAGTTTAGGGATTACTTGACTTTTAGTCTAAGTAAAGTGCTGTGTTTTCAAATTCTTATAGTGACGTAAATCAGTCGTTAGAAACTTTGAGTGTTATGACTTGTATTCCGTCATAATGGCTAAAATGCATTTATTCTTTATTTTTCTACAAATATTAAATACCGAATTCAGACAACAGACTTTTCTACATAAAAAGATTATTTAATGAAGAAATCATTAATTTAACATCAGAATTGATTCAACATGTTCTGATATAGGGTTAGTGTATTTCGGAATCAGAGTAAAAAACAGATATTATCGATAAAACTCACTTGGATAAGTACAGGTGATGATAGAAGCATATCGTTTGCTGTGGTTAAAAAATTAGTTGAGTCTACCACTACAGCATCATGACCCCATGCAGTAAGCCAGAAGCGTGAAATTCCTCGTAAAGGTAATGGAAGTCTAGATATTCTAGTACCACATGTTATCAAAAGAGTAGGCAATACATTAACACTGGGATTCTGTTTTCTTTGAGTTGTATTGCTTGCGATACAAGAAATAAAAAGACCAAACCACGGAGAATTAGCTTCTGATATAGGTGGCCCCAAATGTGGTGGCCATTGGGAATCAGAAGCTTGCTGGTCTTCATATGTTGAGGGAATAAGGCTCACAACTACGTTATAGTTTTTGCGCAAAACTCGTATGCGTGTTTCAGCCTCTAAACTTAACAACGAACCACCTCTAATTAAATCCACATCACAAAAGTCCGTTGAGTCTAATGAAGCCTGACTACGCAAAAAGTGGATTGTTTTTCTTAAATTCAGAGCATACTCGCGATAAACTCCGGCTTCACCTTCTGAAACAGGAGCAAGATGGTTTAATTCAAATATGAAAGAATTCAATGAATCATCTGATAATTTCCCGACTTCAAACATTGTAACTGCATGAGGCTTTAAGTTGGGTGATAAATTGCCCATCATGAGATAAGCTGTGATGGTCGAATCAAATATCAGAACCAACTTTTTTTTCTGCTGAGGGTGATCATCTACAGATGGAAAGGAATCTAAGTTTGCGTCGACAACTGAGTTTTCCGTGTGTAGCAGCGTATCAGACTCCTCAATGGATATTGGAATTTGAAAAGGCTGTGTTCGACTCTCCAGACGTCCAATCCGTTTTTGAGCGAACCCCAACCGACAAAATATAGAAGCAGCTTGTTTTACTGAATTCACATCTACCTGCAGACACTCGGCTAGTTCACTAACTGATGTATTCTCATCAGCAGTGACAAAAATCTTGTATAAAAGATTTTCTCTAATATCTCCACTGATACGATTCATTACGAAGCCCTCAAGTGTAGGGACACATATCTTGTCGTCACAAGACACTGGAATATCAATGTAAACCAAACCACGAAGGTAAAGTCCTTTGATGATATTTTGATCAAGATCTTTAACCAGAATTCCGGGACCGACTTCGTTGGATTCCTCCAAGTCATCTGCTTTTTCAGCATCTATAAGCTGGTCGATCGTTATGCGCTCGGAATCCGTAGATGCTTGTATGTCAGATAACATAACTGACCCAATACGAACTACATACCAGGGCTCAAATATGACTTTATCGATTGGCTGTGACGGCAGAATGTCACAAAGAAGTCCCTGAATTTCATTTTCGTCAGGACCTATTGACGACAGGAAACTCTTGTAAGTGTTAACAAGCTCAATATACTGATTTCTGCCAATTCCCAACAAACGTAAGCAATCTGCAGCAGTAAAATTTGGAAGACAGTCATATGACTTTTCAGTCGAAATCAGGTCAATTATCATGCGACGGTAGTAGACAAACTGCGTAATTTGCAAACCACGGACTATTTTGTCTTGTAAGTGGTAAGGATATAGGAGATAATGTTGTCTTCCATAATCAACAAGTTTCTCGTAGTATTTTTTTTCACGTTTTATGACCTTAAGTTGAGATTATCTAAACACTTTGCATACCAATTGTACTATATTTCCGGTGTAGCGCAACTGGTTTCGAAAACTGTGTAACAAAATCTGTTCCTCGTACTTCTTTGGGTCATCGTTCAACTGTATACGCACCTCCGACGACAAGTCAAACCAAGACAGATTTTTCTCAATGCTTTTCCATAAATCCATCTGAAATTCATTTGTTTGTAAAATTTATGATATAAAACCTCCAAAAAGCTGCGTCCATCACTAGACTAAGCGAAATAATGCATTCAACATGTTCTGAAATCAGAAATCAATAAACAAAAGCTACAATTTTAGCAACCTAACTGACAGATAAAACCAGATAAAGAGTGAGGCATCAGATGGATAGAGAAAATTTATTATTATGATAATGACTTTAGTGACAACTCGTCGCTTCGTAGTTAAGACCTCCCAGATCTGAACCCTTTTCCGTCCACGCTGGTTTGGGCAGATGGGTAATGTCCCTATCCATCACACTTAAAAGTGTAGCTCACACACAAGTAACTGGTGGGTTAACTATAAAAAGAAATCATATTACTGTTGTCAGATTATTAACACAACACAGTGAAAAAAAACCGGTAGCATCTCTGAGCAATTCACTGAATTATATTCATCTTTTTCCGCCCTATTATATTTTCTTTACTAGTCGAAATAAAAGGTAACAAAGCGACCATAAGCTATAGAATCAGATGATTTCTACTAATGTCTACCCGCAATATTGCGAACCATATCACAATAAATAATAACCCATACATTTGATGAATAAGATCACTAAGCTAATATTTGAGTTAGGCATATTAACATCGATCCTGAAATCATGTGCAAGAAAACTTAATTAAACTGTTTCAGATCATAAAGAGCGATAAATATCTAAGTATATACTTATGGAAACACAATTAGTACAGGAGATAGAGGGGTGATATTGCACGGAAGCTGTCTGGGTATGTTAGAGATTAAAATACCGAAAACTGAAGTTAGTGACAAAGTTACCTAATGAGATTAGTCATTAATCTACACTTCGACAACGGGAGTGGAATGACGACACAACATAATGAAAAAACCACCTTTCAGTACTTGTATTTTACACACGGCTAGGATAAGAAAGTGAAACAACACATCCTATTTTTAAATAAACCAAGAAAGCTAACAGTTAGCCCAAGATTGAAAGGGAGGAAAGCAGAGACGAGTTGAATTCATCATAATTTACGTGCAATGACCTGTAATTACAAATTACATTGTTTTAAATACAACTATATTAAAAACACCAAGCACAATATTCGTTTGTTGCTTATCCACAAACATGTTTGGGATGCGATACTTGTAGAGTTTAATGGACAGGGCTCGACGTCAGTCCCTTTTGAGCCAAAGAATCTCAAATTTAATATTATTTGTTTTTCACTTATTTGTTCTTATACAGTACTCACTACGTTTGATTCTTAGCATTACTGATGGTACTGTCGTTTCGACTCTTGTTTTTCCCTCACTTTACTAAAACGGAATGTGGTGAATTATGTTGATTCATATTTTATTCTAGGTCATTCTTTGTTATATGATTGCACACCTGTCCTTTATTGTTTATATACTGCTTTAAATTATGAATACTTATTCCAGTTATTCATTGTCGTTACTGACTGAAGTCAAATCAAGAAATATAACCAAAATGGGATTTCGACTAGCATCTATGTTAAATAGGAGTGATGAGCTAGTTATTGCACCTCAAACCCCTGATATCCTTTCATGAACTACTTAGTTCCTAATCTGATCTTTATTTGTCACATGATTATAGAAACCACATTAGTCAAGCTGATTCCTCTGTTACTCAAGTAGCTTTTCATTTTCTTGTGAAGTCGGCCAGTCAAAGGCAACCTAATGCCCTATACGTATCAACACCAGTTTAAGTTGCCCTACCCGGTAATACAGCGAAATAAAATTGTCACGGCAAATTCCGGAGTAGTAAAGGTAGTAGCAGAAAAAATTGGGCACCGAAGAGACGATTCGAGAAATATAAACCAGTGAAATAAAAGTTATGAATTAATAAACTTAGAATGTGGAAGATAAAAAGAAGATGCACCTGCGACATCGCAAACGATTTCGAGTTATGTCATCCAAAGTCCTTAACTACTGATAACGACAACCACGTCGACACTAACCAGCTAGTCTACACCTATTAACATTACTTAATCCAATTTTCAATGACTTAATGAACTGATGCCACGTTTTGGTTTTGCTAATTGCAGTTTTCTTCCAACTTACTCACACAACAGACAACGCTCCATCAAAATAAACGATGGCTGTGCATACGCAACGCATGTCCCAACTACCTCAGATGGTAACTCTTGACTACATCATCAATTGATCTGGAATCTTTACCCAGCACCGTATCCCTAAATCCAGTATCGCTTACTTCGTGGTTGCAAGATATATGAGCGACGCTTATGAGACACCTGTGATAAAGCGCTAATAATCTACGAATATAATCTATTCTTAATGACCATATTTCACACCCATAAAGTAAAATAGGACTGCCGAACAGTAAAATCGTTTTGGGTTGACAGACAAATACCTCGCCTACGCCACAAGTGATCCAAGTCGGAAAAAGCCATCTAAGCTTTCCAAATCCATACCGGACTCCAGTGCATCAGGACTGATGAAATCCCCCACAATAAGTGGAGCGGTCGATACGCTCAACTACTTCACTGCCCATCATCAATTAAGACGCTGATGCAGGCCAATCTTCCAGCAACACTTAGCATTCTTTTGAACATATTATTTTAAGTTGGCAAGTGGCCCTGAATGCCCTGGTACGGCCGAGAGTGGGGAGAGTCCGCTCTCCCTCTCGAAATACTCTCACACGGCCACGCGTATACAGCCTCTGCCAGGGAAGTCCTACTCATTGCCTTCTCGTGGCGGGGGTGTTGTTTACGAAAATGAGAGGACGAAAAGCGAATGTCCGGCGCTTTAACCGGATTCCAAATCAATGGTGCACATGGGCTCCAGTATCCTGCGGGAACGAATGGCGTATGAACCAATCGTTGGTCACCGGCTACCATGGGACTGCATGTCCTTACGATGCTCCACTGCCTTGTGGGTTAGACCTTTAGGTCAAAGGCTCGGGGTGTGGCCCCCTAAGATAACCACCTGCTTCGGTTTGGGCACCCGGGCAGTATCACAGCCCACAGACAAATTGATGAACTCTTTATGCCTATGGAAATTACCTTTCTCGCTTTGAAAAACAAACAATTGATTCAGATTATTATCATTACAATTATTGTCATTATTAATACTAATATTATTATTACTACTATTATTGTCATCATTGTTATTATTATCATTATTATTATTATTTTCCACATTATTCACCCTCTCTTATACTTATACAGCGGCTCGTCTTTGGTGGAAATCCGACTGTATCTAAACGTTCTCGAGTCACTGTCCGGTTGGAAATTGTATGTTACCACCGAATACGAGGACTGAAGCAGATTTTCTGAAACCACGTGCACCATTCAAACTGGCTGCCTTCAACGTTCGCACATTTATGCAGGTCGGACAACAGATAGGGCTGGCTATGTCTTTGGAAAGTCTTAATATCGACGTGTGTTGTCTATCCGAGACCCGTACTCAAGACTCTGGCGAAGTACTACAAATTCAATCTCCATCTGTCGCTTCGAAAAGCTTGTTTTACGTGCGCTTATCCGGGGACCCTGTGGCATCTTCGTCTGGTCTTGCCGGCGTTGGTGTCGCACTAAGCGCTAGAGCTGAGGCAGCACTAGTCGATTGGATCCCCATTAACAGTCGGTTATGTGCTGTTAGATTAGAAAGTTCCATCAAAGTGAGAAGAAATCGGCATGAGAAACGATGTCTTTTCGTCATCTCCGCCTATGCCGCGACAGATTGCAGCCTGGATGCAATCAAGGATGAATTCTACCACCAGTTGACTGTTCTCCAGAAAGTGCGTTCGACAGATATTGTAGTACTAGCCGGAGACGTGAATGCTCAGCTCGGGCGTCTAGGCACAGAAGAGAATCGTTTAGGTGGCCAATGGGGACTTTCTGGTCGCAGGTCAGATAACGGGGACCGTCTACTGCAACTTTGCACAGACCACAACCTGTTTCTGGCTAGCACTAACTTTCGTCACAGTCATCGCCGATGTGCCACCTGGTGTCCTCCCTCTGCATCTCAAGCCTGGACTCAGATTGATCACGTCGCGATCAGCTACCGCTGGCGTAGTAGTGCACAAGACTGCTGCTCCTTTTGGAGTACCTATCTGGACTCTGATCATGCCTTGGTCTGCGCCAATCTTACCTTACTTTTCAGTGGACAACGAAGTGACCGTCACCAATGGATTGATGTCAGCAAGTTGGTTGCAACTTCTGTTGCAAGTAAGTATCGAACCGAGCTAGCTTCTAGGCTAGCTACCATTCCGCCGAAAAGTATAGATGAGCATTGGTTGCGATTGCATAATGCCATGAAAATGGCGAGTAAAGCCGCTTATAAGTACTAGGTTTCTTCTGGTTCCCTACAACTCATTGAAGCCCGTCGGTCTACTCCAGGTGACCGTGAGTTTGACCATAAACGAAGGATGTTACGTAATGAAATTGGGCAAAGCTTGCGTAAGGACCGAGAAACCTGGTGATCGGAGAGTGCTAATGAGCTGGAAGCAGCAGCTGCATCTGGTAACTACCGGAAGCTCTTCCAACTCATCCGAGCCACTGGCAGCAAGAAGTCTGGTGTGAGTGAAACAATCTGCGAGGATGATGGGATGCCAATCACTAACATCCATCGACGTCTTGGACGATGGGCAGAATTTTTCGAAGGGCAGTTCAACTGGCCTGCAGCTCCGGCAACATCGGTCAGACTGTCCTGCCCTCCATGGCCGGTGACGACTGATCCACCAAATGAGGAGGAAGTCCGCAAGGAACTCCAACTCTTGAAGCGTTACAAATCACCTGGCCCAGATGACTTACCTCCGGCTCTTTTTAAAGATGGTGGTGACTTTTTGACTAAGGAATTGACGACGTTGTTTACAAAGGTTTGGGAACTAGAGAGTGTACCAACGTCATGGAATGAGTCGATAGTTGTCCCTATCTTTAAAAAGGGTTCACGTCGTTCTTGTAACAACTATCGGGGGATAAGTTTACTTCCGATTGCGTCCAAGCTATTGGCTTCCGTCATTCTTCGTAGGTTGTTCAAAACCCGAGAAAGATTGACTCGCGAGGAGCAGGCTGGGTTTCGTTCTGGTCGAGGATGTATTGATCATATCTTCACCCTCCGCCAAATGTTAGAACACCGCCATACTTTTCAAAGGCCAACAATCGTAGTGTTTCTTGACATCAGGGCTGCCTTCGATTCGTTGGATAGGACTGTTCTCTGGGATTGTCTATTGAAGAAGGGTGTGCCTGAGAAATTTATTAACATGCGAAAGGCCCTATATACAAACATCTCAGGCAGAGTGAGGGCATACAACCACCTCTCTCCATTGTTCCATTCGAGCAGTGGGGTTAGACAGGGTTGCCCAATCTCACCATTCCTCTTCAACTTTGCCATCGATGACATTCTGGAAACATCTCTGATGAATGTAAGTAATGGTGGTGTGGATCTGTTGCCTGGAGAAAGACTTCTCGACCTTGAGTATGCGGACGATATTGTCTTACTGTGCGATAATGCCCAAGGCATGCAATCCGCACTTAATCAGTTGGCAATCAGTGTCCGTAGGTATGGTATGTGCTTTGCACCTTCGAAGTGCAAAGTACTTCAACAAGACTGGCAGGATTCTAATCCTGTACTCACCCTGGATGGTGAGCAGATAGAAGTAGTCGAGAAGTTCGTGTATCTGGGTAGCTGCATAAGTGCTGGTGGGGGTGTGAGTGATGAGATCAATGCACGAATAGTGAAAGCCAGAGCGGCTTATGCCAATCTGGGCCACCTTTGGCGCCTTCGTGATGTTAGTCTGGCTGTAAAAGGCCGGATCTACAACGCGTCGGTGAGAGCAGTTTTGCTCTATGCTTGTGAAACCTGGCCTCTCCGAGTTGAGGACGTTAGACGACTCTCTGTGTTCGATCATCGCTGTCTCCGAAGGATTGCTGACATTCAGTGGCAACACCATGTCAGTAATGCAGAGGTTCGGCATCGTGTGTTCGGGCACAGAGATGATAATTCAATTGGTGTCACCATCTTGAAACACCGACTTCGGTGGCTTGGACATGTTCTCCGAATGTCGTCCCAGAGAATTCCACGTCGTGCATTATTTGCCGACTCTGGGACTGGTTGGAAGAAGCGGAGAGGTGGTCAGTGCATGGCATGGTGTCGTGGTATGAAAGAAAGCTGCAAAGGACTGGCTTGTGTTGGTCCTTCACGACTCCCTGGTTGGGGTCCGAGAGATGGTGCTACACAGTGGCTAGAGACGTTATCAGATATGGCTCAGAATAGAAGCCAGTGGCGATCCTGCTGTAACCTTCTTTTACTTTCTTCATAAAAAGTGGTTGTGTCTCCTTTACCTGAAAGATTTCTTCTGATTGTACCTTTTCGTTCCGTCGTTACTACCACACTACCTTACTCCAATCTCTTCGTCATTGTTCTCTTTTTCTTTTGGGTTCCTTAGTTTTTTTTTCTTTCTACTTCTCTTCGAATTCCCATTGTTTTGTGTGGCGCATATATATTGGCGCTCTCTTGTACCAATATTTATGTGTTCAAATAAATAAAATAAATAATAAGTGGCCCTTTGTTAGCTTTCTGTATACCAAGTGAATTAGACATTAAAATACCGATTTGTTTATTCACCTACAAATAACAATATTGATGGACATAAGGAGAAAATCACCAACTCACGATGAACTAGATTAATTTTCGATGTTTGACTTCTATGCCGATTATGATCACTAATGTTTCGAGCTATTAGAATTAACCTCTAGGACTCATAATATTTACCTGTATTAAAATCTATAATTTGACATTAAACTCTAGTGGAACCAGGAATTTCAAAGGTCACTGTTGACTACCTACTCAATGGAACAATAGCTCAGCAGTTTTGATACACCTTAACTATAATTAGCGAACAACTACTAGGGATGGGTTCTGGATTATAGATAGATATGATTCCTGACATATTCCTCCAAGAAACCATTAGACCAAAAACAAACTAGATAACAATAAAATTGATCGAAGAATAACACCGAATAATCTTTTCCGGTACCCACAAAAACAAGGTAGTCGTCAAACTCTATCTTAAAAGATTATGAAGAATGTACCATCACCTTAGCTTTAGGAATAAGTTTTTACAACCCACTAATTCGAACCGAGTAAACTTGCATGTGATTTTGGGAGACCATAACTTGTGGACGACCTATGAGCAGCTTTAAAAAAACTTGGGCCACTTACTATTGTCGAAATAGCATTATGAACTAGTTTGAGGAGTCGAGATAAGAAGTTGGGGATTCGACTGCCTATAGCACCATATATATTACCAAATCGCTATCTAAATAGAGCAAGAACAAACATTGATGCAGAATAGTATGAATTCATATTATTTCGAAGTTTCTCGTCAGCTGCTTACAAACCAAAATTGTGATATATATATATATATATATATATAGTTATTATTGTAATCACGTTGTTTACACTCATTTATGTCAATTGTTTCACACTATCTCCATGTAAAAATTCTATCACGATTTTGGTTTGTAAGCAGCTGACGAGAAACTTCGAAATAATATGAATTCATACTATTCTGCATCAATGTTTGTTCTTCCTCTATTTAAATTCATAAAGGGAACCAATTGCATGAAATCGCTATTTAGTTAACCAGGAGTATTTTGCACCAAGATCCAACTATCTATCGTAAGCCTGATTAATTTGTCTTCCAATCACAGTCCTGAAAAGTTATGAGTAATGTGTGATATATTTATTTCACGACACGATCTTCCTAAAAGGCACTGGCCTTTCATTGCTACAGGTAGTTTTCCTGATGTATACTCAATTAAGGGAGATGTACAACATGATGCGGGTTATTTTTGGCCAGTATATAATCCTTGGGAACGTAGAAACTGGAAACTTAACAGAACTCTACTAGGCACGTAGAGAATATGTTACTTGGGCGAGACTCTAATTTAGGGACGACCTTTGAACGAATCTTAAATGACCTTGACAATTA